CATGCAGTTCCATGCCTGTGTTTGTTCGTAATTTAGGCCTGCATTACCTGAGCACACGAAGACAGAAGCCTCCTCACTATAAATACAACTCTAAATGTAATTGCAGGTTCACAGCTGTGGCTGGGAGAGGGAAGTAAAGGAAAATAAACCGCCATTGCAGATGCGAGTCAGCAGAGAAGCAAATTTAGATTCCGACCCTGATTGACGGCTTGATCTTGGGCTCATTTATGAAATCGTTTGAATCTTAATTCATGGCTTGGCAAAGTGGAACTGGGATCTGCTTCACAGGGTCATTCTGTAAAGCACAGCGTGTTCAGTTAGCTTGGTAGGAAGGCACCTGGAGGTGGCGGCAGCCATGTATCTCCTACCTAACCAAGAGAAGCCCATCATTTTAGATGTTGAATGTTGATGTCTCAAAAGAAATGGAAGGAAAAAAAATCAACCCCAGCAGATTCTTGCCTGTCATAGTGACTGCCAGCCTGCTCTCATGGTTTAAAATTATGGTCCTTCTGGCCAATGGGCAAGAACAAAAGTCCTTCCTGCAGCCTGCCGCTTAGCAGGCTCCCCATCAGGTTCTTCTTGTTAGTCTCCCTTTCCAGCCAGCTGTCTGGGCTTTTTAAACACCCAGCAGCAAGACGGAGCGGTGACTCCACCCTCCCTGCTCAGGTTGCACTAACACGTGCATCATCGTTTCCAGGGGTTTTTCTTTGATGAGCGTCGCAAAACTACTTTCCCTCCTGATCCATTCCTAGCCTAGGAGCTCCTTTGAGAGAAGAGACAGAACATCACATATCAAAAGGGAGGAAATTATAAAAAGCCGGGGTTAAGGTTGAGATAAGGAATAAAATGAATCCCATTTGACTTAAACTATAAAAGTGAGGTCATGGCAAAATGGAAAATATTTTGTCGGAAAGAGTTTTCTCCTTGATTGGGTATTTAACGGTTTCTTGGCAGAAACTTCCTAGACAGAGTTTTCTTTGTGTAGCCTTGGCTATCCTGGAACTTGCTCTGCGAATTTTCAGAAGATCTGCCTGCCTCTGCTTCAGAGTGCTGGGTTTAAAGACATGTGCAACCACTGCCCAGCTTTAAGAGGAGTTCTTAAGTCTAGGCAAAAAGAGGAAGTTTGACAGAGACCGACGGGAACCCAACCATTAACTAAACCAATTCAAATGCACTTATCAGAATTAGTCAGGGTGATGCAAGTCTGCAACCCTGGCATCGGGGAGCCGAGGCAGGACTGACAGTTTTGAAGGAAGCGAATGTTTGCTGAGTTCCCCTCATACAATGTGGGGGCCTATATCTAAAACAATAGAAGAGACTTTAGGCCAAGTTACCAGTAGTGCATGCTCCCCAGAGTGCTGCCCGCCTGCTCACATACTGCTGGTTGGTACGGATTTCAGAGCTCCTAATGACATCACTGTCATAGCAGCAGGGCCTGTAATAACAGCAACCATCAATTTCCTGAGAGCTTGTGTTCCATATATTCCATTTAGTCCCCTTCTAAGCTATTAGAGGCTAAATCGCTTCATCAAATCCACGTGGTATGGCTGGGATTCAAACCCATGATTTCATTGGCATCCTGACTTAAAATTTAACTCCAAAATGATATTTCAAAGAGTACACTTAGGTCCTTCCTTTCTTTTGAGCACACATGTGGTTATCTTTTTCCTGCATATATATTAAAACATAACTCCAGTCCCCTTAAAAAAAAACAAGCCTCATCTTGTGCTGATACTTGGTGACAGTGACTGACAGGCATGTCCAAGGCCCGTTATATAACTCCACTTTTGAGTGTCTTCGATTTCCCACGATCAAAAGCTGAGGGCTATTGTAAAACACTGTTTTAAGCGGCTCTTTGGGAAGTTGGGTGAAGTCAGTCAGCAGGAATTGGTGAAGTGAGATTCCAACTCTCCGAGGATGTCACCTGTGTTTACCAGCAGCTCCAGCACAAAGTCCCTCAGCACACACCTGTCGGGGCACCCATGGCACAAGGAGGGGTTTCCCAGGGACAGAACTGGCTTTTTTCAGAGTCACTTCCTGACACAGACATTTTCTTTTTCCTGGCCTTCCCCCATCCATTAGTTATGTCTTCATGGGCATGGCAATCTCCCAGATGATGGCAGATGGGCCGCCGTGCAAACAGCCTAGTGTTTCTGCTCTCACAGATAACCAGTTAGCAAACTCTTAAGAGTTGGCTGCTTATCCACAGTCCTTTAAAGTTTCCAGAAGAAAACCAACATGTTGGTAATCATTTTGCAGTTTCTTGCTGGTTACCACTTTCATCACCAGTGACAATCTCTTTGGCTTCATTCCCTCCAGGCTGTGGGTTTGGTTGTTTTATTACTTTATCCATACAACTCACTTGATAAAAAAGGAAATAAAAGATTGTGGAAAAGGAAAGCAGGTGAATATGCTCTTATAGACATTATCTTTTTCTACTTTTACCTATAACTCCCACCAGAAACATAAGTCAGTGCAAGACTGAATTCCACCCTTTCCTAAAGGAAGGGAGGGCCAGGGATCAGAGCGATGGCTTGTGTTATCCACTCCCCCTCCCCTTTCCCCTCCCAACACAAGGTCAGGAACCTGACTACTGGACAGGAAGCTTTCACATCCTTTCCCTTCCTAGAAAGTCTGGGTATCCTCCGGCTGGGGATGTTGAGTTGGTGCTGATTTCACCGTAGAGCCTAAGTTTGGATCCTGGAGTTTTAGAGCACCACAGAACCAGCCAGCATAAAAGGTCAAGAAACAAAACCTTTCAAGCCCCAAACTCAAACCAGAACAAACCAGCTGGGTGGACAGGGCATAAAGGAAACAGGCCGAAGGAGGTAAATAATTAGGTACAATGCATTTCCTACAGTAGCTATCTGTCCTCCCCCATCTCTGTGTGTATCTACCTCCACCCATTCACTAAAGCCAAGATAAAACTGCATGGCAAATGGTGGCCTTTATATGAAAACCACAAACAAAATAGACTGGGAAAGTTTGGTTTGTTTTTCAGAGTCAAGACTCTCTTAAAATAAAAATCTGTTTATCTACATAGAATTATGTGGGAGCCCACAGAGGCTATCTACAGAGACCTTACTCAGGATCAGAGTATCTGGGCTTGCTTTACCCAGCAGGGCTGCATAAAGGGATGATTTGGCCAGGGGTGTGGTTACCAGGTGTTTGGAAGGGTCTACACTTGTCAGTACTTTGTGCTTTGATCTTGCTAGAGGGAGGTCTTTTGCCTTTCCCCTTGGTGTATTATAAAAAGCCCTTCGGAATCAACTTCAGGGCGACTGGGTATTGACCCAGGGCCCTCCTGAAGCTATCCTGTGTCTCTTTCTTATTGTCTCTTTCTATCTTTCTACCTAATACTTCCTCATTCCTCTCTCCTCCACCCAAGAACCCTATGATAGGTCAGGGCTGGACTCTGACAGACTCCCACAGAATCAGTCCTTGAATTACAACTATGAGTTTTATAGGTTTAAAATCAGAGTATGTCAATCTATTAAAATGGAGAAAAGAAAATGGGTCCCTAGCATTTCAGGCCAAGCTGAAAACCATTCAATGGCATGTACTCTCACTTCCAGGGTTTTAAAAATGCATCTATACATGGACATACCAACAATGTGTTCAGGTAAGTAACCCAAGACAAATGCACAGAAGAGAAGGAATTTCATTTGCTCGGGGGAAAACAGGCTTCCAAGGTGTCCAACTGCCCAGATGCTACAACTCACAATAATGAATCCACACTGAAGGCAGTTCTGGGCTCTGCCCTGTGTGGAAAAATGACTCATGAATGAAGTCTCACCAGAACTTACTCAAAACTGGCTAAAACCTAGACACTCAACAGACAGAAATACTCTGTCCAAGAACTCAATTATCTACCATTTTAAACACACAAAGTAAACATTTTTAAAAAGTTGTATGGCCAATGTCCACGATGAGTTTATTTCATAGGGAATCCCCATCCCACCCGACCCCGGAAAAAAAAAATCCCATGATTTTCTCAGACACCACACAGTGCCTGGCACTTTGAATTTCTCTTTCATCACAGCATATATAAAAAGAAAACAACAAAAACACATTAAAAACATACTCCTTAAATTAGCAGATTTAAAAGGAAATCTTGAAGCAGTGTTTTGTTATGCTTTGATTAAAACTATCTATAAATCAAAGTGCACTTGTATAAAGATAGCAACATTTCTATTAGGGTATAGGTTATTTTGCTTTATTGTGGTCTCTTATCTAGATATAAAACTTTTAAAGCTTTCTTCATTAAGAGTCATTCTTCTGCAATACATAATTTATTGATCCACTGAATTTCTGAACCAGTTTTTTGTTTGTTTGTTTGTTTGTTTTCTGTGCTTTTCTGCTGTACATCATTATACAAACGGCACAGTCCGATGCTGCACTTACAGGAACTCAGGACGAGGGAGAGCGTATGAAATGACAGATCAGCAGTCTAATCCTTTGGCTCATCTTTTTGAAGAAATCACCAGATGAAACTTACAAATCACTGATAAAATTCATCTTTTTGGTTAACAAGCAGATCCATCTGGTACATTACTGCTTACAAGGCAACACTGCTTTAAAATGACCACACTCACATTCCCATCTTGCTGCTCAAGGATGCCACTGTTTATACCTGGTGTGACAGGACAGGATGATACAGTAAGGCACGGAGTGGATGGTACAGGTAAAAATGAATACTTTAGGCCTAATTTGTTTTTCTGCACAAATACGAAAATATGTACCGTCTGCAAGATAAAATAACAAAGAAATACATAATTTTTGTTTACGAAATACCTATACAAAATTTTAAAATTTACACCATCTGAGCTGCCAAGAAAGGTTTAAAAAAGTATCTTTTTTTTCCCCCCATACATAAAGCTTCCTCTCATCAGTAGGTCCATAAGAACTTAGGTTCAAAATGTCCAGCACTCCACAGAGGGGAGAGGGCCGTAATTCCCCTTCCTGCTCTCTCTAACCCCAACATAAGACAAAAACGAAGGTCGGATGTTGACAGTAGTGTATTCTACTTGTTATGAACAACTGAAATTGAGAAACAATCAGGTGGGGAGGCTACTGGCACGCGGAGTGACTGAGGGATGCGTAAGGCACTTTGTGCGAGAGCAGCTTCCTTGGGCGGCGGGGTGGTGAACACGGGCTGCAGGAGGCTCCTCGGTGGTCGCATGGGAACATCTCTTTTGACAGCAGGGAAGACACAGTAGGTCGAACGCGGGCGAGGGCTACACCGACGTGGTCACTCGGTCGGCGGCGGCGTGGTTGACCTCGTTTTTGTTGGAATCCAGTCCTTTGGCGGCGTTCATGTCGTTCCGTAAGTTCTCCACCGTCTTTTTCATGTTCTTCAACTCCCCCGGGTGTGGAGTGGCCCGCCTCTGAAGTGTTCTCTGCAAACAAACAGAGGGTTTGGTTTTGCCCACTACTGTTTCAAAGCACGCAGCACGGCGGAGGCATTAGCATTCCAACACACAGCTTACAACCTCAGAAATCCGACTTCCAGGGGGAAACAGCTTTCTTCCCAGCTATGGGCATGCATCAGCTGCTCACCCCGAGTTCACGGGACATTAAAGTAACTTCGCAGTCATGACAGAACATATTACTTTTAGAATAAAGGGATACATTTTAAAATACTAGTATAAAATAAGTTTCTACATGTTAATGGAAAATAACAAAATTTAAGATATAATTATAGAATAAAGAAGAAAAATAAATAAATATTCCAAATTAAATTTACTAGAATGTTCTTGTATTACTCAGACAAGTGTGGCTCTGGTTTCCTTCACCCCTCGGGGCTCGGGAGTGGAAAAAGAGAAAGCAAAAAAGAGGACTTCATCTGGACTGGCCGCTGTGTGCCAGTGGCTGTTCTGAGGAAAGTGCACGTTCTTCTAATAAAGACCACAGCTCTGACAGTTGAGGGACAGGGCTCGGCAATCTGTACATTTTCCCATTAGTTAATATAGGACGTGCTCATTATCTCATAAAGCAGCGTTTCCATCTTTCCAAAGACCTATCTTAGAAGACATTAGCTTAACAAAGGGCATTACCGAGGTAGTAAAGCAACCACTGAAATAATTACACTCTGAAACGTCCGTGGTGAGCATTAAAGAAATACCGCCTTTGAAGTTCCCTTATCACCCCTGGTTCCCATTTTTCTCCCTACCAAGGCCGATGCCTAAAGCCCCATCTGGTGACACCCGGACCACTAAAGACGATTTTAAAGCAGACTTGGGGGGGGGGGCGCAAGCAGCCTCTCTCAGCACTGCTTGTGAAAACCCAGCTAGCACAGAGAGTTTCCAAAGCTAGCCTGGGGGCTGGAGAGATGGCCCAGTGGTTAAGAGCACATAACTGCTCTTCCAGAGGACCCGAGGCTCAGTTCCCAGCACGCCTGTTGGGTGGACCACAGCTCCATGTATCTACAGCCAGCACCAAGGCATCGACAGCCTCTTCCAGCCTCCTTGGGTAGCATGCATACTCCAACACACATGCATACGCATGACTGAAAATGAAAATCTTTAAAAAAAAAAAAAAAAAAAAAAAAAAGAACCAGCCAGTGTAACTCCGTATCAAGTTCAGGGTTGAAACACGGTACATCTGAGAGACATTTTCAAATATGAACCAAAGAGCGGGGCTTCAAACAATATTCCTGATTTCTAAATGGAAACTTGTCAAGATAGTTCAACCAAGATCACTAAACTCTACAAAGGGCCATGGTGGCCTGGTATGCCAAGAAGAGCCATGTCTTGTACTGAGTCACATAATGACATGTGAATGGAGTGAACACAGCCCAGCCACGAGCAGTATTAGAGATAGGAAGAGATTTCATTCACGCAAAAAAAAACAAAACAAAACAAAAAACAAAAAAACAAACAAACAAACAAACAAAAAAAAAACGGGGGAAAGGAGGGGGAGAATTGCCAATTTTAGAGAGAATATGGGGACAGAAGAGGACACTATCATATCATAAAGAAATAAAAACACCAAAACGATTCAAGTCATAACAATGTCAAAAATTCACTTTGTATTGGTGCTTCAAGAATTAGTTTTGTTTAAAAAACAAACAAACAAAGCTAGATGTTGAAAGGCAAAACAGAAAATGTACTATACAAACACAAAGAAAATCCACGTAAGGTGCCACAGTCCATCGTGGATGAATGTCCACCACCATACCGTTTCATTTTCGTCTTCATCCTTTTCGTCTTCCAAAAACCGGATTGCACTGACTCTGTGTACGGTGCGGTCATTCCAGGCATCCTCAGAGACGTCATTCACCAGGCTTTCCAGGGCACCACAGCGAGGGAGGCTCTCTGCAGGGACAAAGACAACATCAGCGTGGAATGCTGGCCGTGTGGCTGGGAATAGCTGCACTGTAATTTAGTGGCTCACTGGTCAGAATCCACATGGAGGCCCACAGCGCCAAAAATAAGGAGGGCAGACCACTGCTGCAGCCTCCAACCTTTGCTTTTTGTTAACATGTAAAGCAAGAAGCAAAAAGGCCTGGGCAGAATTAGTCCTTTATAATGGAACTCCATCTGAGATCCTCTGAGGTAGCTGCTAGATTGGGATGCTTAATGTTTCATCATAGAAGGTTCCAATGCATTAAAGAGTGCTCTGGCTCTTTTTGTCTTTTTTTTTTTTTTTTTTTTTTTTTTTTTCTCAATCGTGGTATGGCGGCAGTCAAGGGAGGCTGGTGCTCTCTCTCATGGCACTTTGCTACACTTTCCTGAGACCAGCAAGGTCATTTCGGAGTGTTCCAGCTCCAGGGACTCCAGTATTCCTACCAAATCCATATCTCTCAGCAATGGATTCATACCATCATTTTGATATTTGTGTGAATATTTTTTTTTTTTTGGTTTTTAGAGACAGGGTTTCTCTATGTAGCTTTGCGCCTTTCCTGGAACTCACTTGGTAGCCCAGGCTGGCCTCGAACTCACAGAGATCCGCCTGCCTCTGCCTCCCAAGTGCTGGGATTAAAGGCGTGCGCCACCACCGCCCGGCCTGTGTGAATATTTTTTTAAAATCACAAAATTTATAAAACAAAGATATAACAACTCAAAATAATTCACTGGTTTAAAGATACTGTGCCAACGGTATTACCTGGGAATCCTCCAATATCAGTTTGGATTTTAATAAGCTACCCCACTGATGAGCATTATACTTTTATCCTTGCTGTGTAATTCCAAACCAAAGGGTGGCTTTGGGAATTTCAGTCATGATAAACAGAGGCGAGCGATCTTTTCCTAGGGCTCAGTTTGCCCCTGCCTTGCTTCTGGTAGGAGCAAACTGAACAAAATCGCAACCGTACTAGGGAAGAGGAGGCCCTACAGGCAGACATTAGCTCCAGCTCACGGCCCTTCAGAGAAAATCACCTTGGGAGATTGGTTCGGAAGGCAGCTGAGGAAGTAAGACACAAGTTAAGATCTTCTCCCCTGTGGCGCGGTCTGTGTCCGTCTGGAACGTGAGCAGAGGCTGGGACTGGTTGTCCGATAACCACAGGGCCTTTAACTTCAGAGTCGTCAGAGATAAGGGCAGATGACGCAACCTGACATAAAAGGAGAGATGTTACAACCGGAATGTCAGAGAGCTGACTCCTGCTAACTCAAATGGGAAGGAGATAAAAAAGCAGAGCCCTCCGACTGGATCCAGAGTATGGAAAGATATTATGTTCGCAAACAGATCTGCCAGGAGAGAGAGTCACAAGTGAGGTGCCCGCTTCTCTTTAGTGCTACCACTGCTCTCCGTAGGACCTCCAGAGCACGGGGCTAAACAGCCCAGAGACAGCATAAATCACGTCGGAAGGCCTTGCACTGAGTTTGAACTGAAGGAGAGGAAATACACAGCAAAAGCCAAAGGACAAATACACACCACTGCACAGGGCTGCAGCCTCACTGGTAGGCTGCCGGAGGTCCCCCAGGGGTGGGAGGAAGGAGAGAGTCACAGAGGCAAAGAATTCAACTTCATTCTGCACCTGCTGCGCTTGCGGTCTCTGGGGAGACCCTCCCAGCTATTCCTTTAAACTCTGACCTTTCAGATCCCAGTCACTGTCAGTTCTCAGACTCAGGTGATAATTAACAGTCGCATCAGATTACTGAATTTCAGATCGGGGAATCCACATAGGAACACTTTAAAAGCTGAAATGCGACACCTGAATATTAGGTGTATATTAACGCTTGCACCAAGATTTGGTGCATCAAAATGTCCTTCATAAAAGTAACCATGGGTAACGGGCTGTTACCTGAGAGTGTAAGCTCAAGTAAATAAACCCTTTCTTCCCCAAGTTGCTTTCGGTCATGGTGTCTATCACAGCAATAAGAATATAACTAACATAGAAATTGGTGCCAGGATTATGGATCACTGCTGTGACAGGCACGACCATGTTGTTTGGGGGAGGACTGTCAGAGTGTTCGCAACTTTGGGCTGGGAATGACAGTGAGTTCTGTGGAAGCTTAGAAGACAGCAATGTTGAAAACAGGGCAGACAACAGAGGTCTGTCTGGCTTGGAAAGTTCCAGGGGGAAGCATACACTCCACTTGGACCCTTTGGCGGTATTCTGAATTAAGAATCTGTGGTTCCGATCAGCTCGGGTTGGAGAATCAGACATGACTAACCAATGACCATTGACGTGGAACCTTTGTTTTACTGGAACAACGGACACTGGTTGGCTGGCGCTGAGAAACTAACTGTCGTCCTAGTTAGGGGTTTCCATTGCTGTGATAAAATACCAGAGCCAAGAACAACTTGGAGGGGAAGGGGCTTATTTTGCTTACACTTCCACATCACAGCTCATCATCCAGGGAAGTCAGAGTAGGACCTCGAGGCAGGCACCAGGAGGCAGGAACTGATGCAGAGGCCACGGAGGAGTGCTGCTTACTGGCTTGCTCAGTCTGCTTTCTTATACAGCCAGGGACACCGACCCAGGGGTGGCACTGTCCAGTGACCTGGGCCCTCCCACATCAATCATCGGGAAAATATCTTAGAGGTGTTCTCACAGAATACCTCTTCTCAGTTGCAGTTCCTTCTTCCCAAACGACTCTGGCTTTTGTGGAGTCCACATAAAACTAGCCAGCAGGTACTGATTAAGAGACCAGCATCACCAGGGTAAAAACTTCTGGGAATGTTTTCCCAGGGTCAGTGCATAAAAGCCAGGGTGCAGAGGGGGCCAGGGCTGCATGTCACGCTGGCAGTTAAACTTGGTAAAGTCTGAGAGTCTCACCAGTGGCACTAGCTTTGAAGCCATAAGGGGGTCATGGAGAGCAGCTGAAGCTTGGCACTCTAAGAGGCCAGGAGAGGCCACTGGTGAAGGTATAGCCTCCATTACAGTGGAGACCCCAGGATTGAAGGGGTCATGGAGAAAAGCCGAGGTGTGTACTATGTGGCAGAATCAGAAACCCAAAGAGAGGCCAGGAGGCCATCACTGAAGGTGCAGCCTATGGAGACTCCAGCACGCTGGAGATGCCAGGGCCAAACCGCCAGGGACAGTAACAGCGGTGGAGTGACAGTGGCTTGAGCATGTGAGACAAGCAATGTTTGCTGCAAGTGACAGAGCTGAAGAAACGGAGCCTCCCTCTGGAGCCCAGAAGACCTCGAGTCCCAGACAGCAGGCACGGAGCAGACTCCTGACCTTGGGTTTTACTTTTATTTGATGTGACTGTGTCCTGGTGTTTCCCTCTTGGAGTAAAAAAAGTATGTAGCTTATCATTTTTTTTTTTTTAATTTTACAGAAGTCCACAGTTGAGAGATTTGGGATATTTTAAAGAAACTAAACTTCTACAGTGTTTGAATTTTTAAAGACTGTGGGGGCTTTTAAAATTGTTTACATTTTATAGTGCGATATTAATGTGAATTATGGGTATGAACAAGGAAGGAACGTTTACAGTTGAAGTGATGTGTTTGTATGTCAAGCTGACAAGGGGTCAACTGTCTTGGTTGGTTTTGTTTTGTATTTGCTTTATGGGTTTTTTTTGTTTGTTTGTTTTGTTGTTTTTTTCAGTCAACCTGACACAAGCTAGAGTTATCCCAGAATAGGACTTCAATTAAGAAAATACCTCCATCCCAATTGCGTATAGGCAAGTATGTAGGGCATTTTCTCGATTAATGATTGATACGGAAGGAACCAACTCATTGTGGGTGATGCCACTCCTGGGCAGGTGGTCTCAGGATATATAAGAAACAAACTGAGCACGCCATGGGTATCGAGAATAAGCAGCACTCCTCCATGGCTTCTGCTTCAGTTCCTGCCTCCAGGTTCCTGCCTCGGCTTCCCCCAGTGACAGAGTGTTACCTAAAGTATGACATGAAATAAGCACTTCCTTCCCCAAGTTGCTTTCGGTTGCTTTCCTCTATCTATCGCAGTAGGAACCTAACCAAGACCATCTTTCACTAATGAAGGTCACACCCATTTCCCTGCAGTGACGAGCTCACACCAATACCAGGACATCTGCGGCATCTTGGAGAAAGTAGCTGTCCTCTCCACCCTCTTCTCATTTAGATGTGTTTGTTCCTCAAATGAGGCAGCAAGTGATACCTCCTTTGCTGCCCCAAAAATCATTTCTCTCTCTATAACAAATCTGTTGTATACACATTCACACTCAAGGAGGTTAAAGACATTGTTTTTGGCCAGGCACTGTGACAGAGGTATGAACATGCATGCATACATATGTGAATATCCACTATAGGACAGAGGACACAGATCAGTGGTAGGGCACTTGTTTAGCATGTATAAGGCCCTCGGTTTGACTCCCAGCAGCAATGACATACACAGACACACGGACACACAGCACGAGCATCATGTATGCAAACACTTTTCTATTATAGGAATGAAATGTTCTGATATTTTACTGTTTCTTTTTAAAATTAGAGTTAAGCTAACAGCCTCTAAAATGTTAAAAAAAATTCCAAGTGTTGCTCAAGAACGTTACAGTCAGCAACTCTGCTGTTCTTGTTCACAACGTACAAAGGGGGAAAAAAAAATCAAGACTTGAAAACTGGCACAAAACAGACAATCTGCTCCCCCAATACCTCAGAGCCATCACCGGCTGCCCAGTGAGCCCTGGCAAAGGCAAACGAGAGGCTAAAAATATCACCAACAAGTAACAGCTTCCAAGGATGACAAGTGGGTGATAAAAGCTGAAATAAATTACTAGACTCTACAACAGCAGACCTGTAATCGTATTCCAACTCACATTAACGAGTTGTCTGAAACACTGGCTTTCCTGTGAAGAGCCCAAGTGCCAGCCAGCTCCGACGCGGGCGCCGCTGACCAAGTCGACACCACACACGAGCCTGTCCTGGACGGATCTGTACACACAAGTGTTACCTGTGGTGCTCCTGACCCTACACAGCCCGCACACTTTCTGCTGGCCAAGCCAAGCGGCTTCTCGGGACTCGCTGTGGCCTACTCACTGCGGACACACACACTCTCCTCTGCTTCCCTCAGGAAAACCATCTGACTGGAAATGATATCAATACACTCCAGCTTGCCAGAGGAGTAAGTACACTTTAGAACTTAAGTCGGTACCTTCTCTATACCACTGGATAACAGAATTAGAACAAGAAGCCATGGTCTCACTCGCACACCGTCTCTGTGCTCTCTTAAGCACCACACCCCAAGAAATAAAAAGGTGGTGTTGACTGTTTCACACTGGTGGTCTAGGAGGAGGGCCACACAAACTGTGACCAACCCAGCCTCAAGTGACCTTTCGTGCCTCAGGAATATTACAGCAACTACTTCGCCAAAGGTATTTAAGAACTCGGTGTGCCTCCTGGCTAAGGTAGGGTAGCCAATGGTCGACCAGTGCTATACTTTAATACTTCATGTGTTTGTTACTTCCAAGCAGAACTTCCTAGTTTCAAGCAGTTTTCAAAATATGTCTGAAGTGTATAAAAGGCTAGACAAGAGCATCTGGGGGTGGGGGAGCAAATATCTCAAATGAAAGTCCCGTGGACATGAAAGTCTCCCCCATCCTCTACTGGCGTGGGCGTGACTGCTGATAGCTTGGTGTAGTCAGATACGGCTTTGTTTTAAAAAACAACAGAACTGAGTGCAACATCATCCAATACTTGCTTTTTCACTCAGCATCGTGAGTCTTCACTTGAATGCAGACCAAAAAAATCTAATTTTTGATGACTTAATATTCCAGTTTAAAAATGTTTAAATTGTTTTATTAGGGCATGTATGTCTATATATATATACACACACAAAAAAAAAAAAACCCACAAAACTCAAAAGTTTAACCTCCCCACTAACAGATACTGTTTCTAGTGTTTGATACTATTTATACTGAAGCAAGGGCCCCAAGCACCCTATTGTGTGTTCCTGGTGCGTATTTCTAGGCAGAGAGTTTATGAAGAGTTAAGAAATTTTGTCCTGTGTCCCAGAGTAGCTGATGATACAGGCCACTACCCGTCACTGCCACAGAGGGCTTCCCAGTTCCCACATGGTACTCTAGACTCTCCCTTGCAGTAATACATCCTCTCAGGTCTACGAAAGCAAGTTCCTGCACAGCAGCAGCCAGCCTCGCCGGCAGGCCACACTTATATCCCTGAGAGCAGAGCTATAGGCTGCATCCTTGATCGTCTCCCATGGATGACATTCTGCAAGTTTCAACACTGACACGGTGATATTATTATATTATTACTAGTTTCAATTCTGAAATTCTAGAACAAGTAGTGATTAAACATTTTTAAAGGCTGAGAATTTAGTTATGAATTTATATATGGATGGACAAAATGGCACAGTGAGCTGACTCAGATGAGGACTATGTACCTCAACTTCTTAACTGAATGTCTCCACCCCAACCCAAGCATAATAAAAATGTAACTTCCCTTTCTTCTGAGAACTGGAGAACGATGTCCCTACTCACAGGAAACAGTTTTAGAAGCCAGAGCCATCTTTCTGCTCAAGAATTAGGAATGGAAATTCATACTTCCCAGTGTGGCTGGGACCAGGGAAATGTCCAGGGTTCCTGAGGTTCCTGGGCTGCAGAAAAGAAGCTGGAAAGAACCGTACTTCCCAGGCTACAAAGGCTCCAGTGAGCAGCTAGCAGAGATTGACATTCCGTCCAAATCAATCCTGAGTTCCCAGTCCCTTCTTAATGGCCTTAAGAATCTATCAAGATTTCCCGAGGGGATTAACCTTTTAAAAAGGTGAGCATTCCGAGGCCACAGCTCACCTCCAATTACAGCTTCTTTAGCCCAGCTGTCTAGGGTCCATGGCAAAGGATGAAGAGTGTGGGCTTGCGCCTGATCTAGGTGACCAGCTAACCAGTACGAGGGGGCCAGCCCCACGGCACTCTCTGCCCTGCAGGCCTTTACCAAGTAAAATCAGCTCTCCCCAGTTTAATATATTACTGCTTATCTATCACTCTCACATTCAAAAGCCATCTGAAAACTCCTGTTAGCAATGAAGATCATAACCCTTCCTGCCACACCATGCTGCGCCTTCTGCAAAGCTCCTAACATTTTCCTGCAGCCAAGAGTGTACCAGGCATCCACTGTGTGCTGGAGGCTGGGATGGGGGAGGCGATACGCTGGCACAGAAGCAGGGCCCTGTCCCTTGAGACGCCATCCAGTTCAGCAGGGTCACACACGCCTACGTGCCAACAGGCATCACTACAGGGGAAGCTCTTCTTTACCGGGATCCAAAGGGGGAACCCCAAGAGAAAATAAAGTGGGTGACGAAGAACAAAGGCGGAGTCAGAGAAGGGGGTCCCCAGGTGGAAAGGCTAGCCCGTGCGCACACCCAGGGCGAAGGTGCGGATGGCATCTGGGGTGCTGAGACTAACTCAGAAGGCTTGAAAGGGGGCTGCGTTCTAAACCACAAAAACCTGGGCCCAGCGCAGAGCTGGGAATGAGAGGAAGAGCGCTGTTATTCCTCACAGGGACGCCACCTGCTTTTGCCTGTCGTTTGGATTCTGAATCATTTGGATACTCTGACATTACGGAGCCTCTCCCCATAAGCACACTCCCACACAACACAACTTTATTGACGAATTCAGGAGGTTGAAAATGACTAGCACGGAACAGCAAGACCCATGTTTAAAATTCAGCCAGGTTTGGTACGATGTGACTCTGGTCCAGGCTTCGTGGGAGGCTGGGGCAAGAGGATGGCCTAAGCCTAGCTTCGACAACATCCGGAAACTCTGCCCTGCCTCGGGGGAAAAAAAAAAAATTTCAAACAGTTTCAAGCTCACTTTGCAGACAGAGAATCTCTTAAGGCCCACTGTGACTTACAAAAGCAGCTATAGACGCTAAGGCAAAGCGTCCAGTCCACTGTCTGGTCTCGTGGATGCACTGTCATGGAGGAAGCACTCTGCTCTGAAGTAGCCTGAGTTCAGGTACGCTGCCAAGGCTCCCCCTGGCTCTAGCAGTCTGGTCCCCATCAAGAATTCTCTAACCGCTCTGGCTGTCCAGTTAGGCAGTCTAATGTTCCGTGAGAGGTGGCCAGGCCACAACGGCAGAGATACACGGCAAAGACGGGGCTACATATAAATGTGTTTCTCTCCAGCAAAAGCCTTCCTTACCTGTTCCCTGCCACATCTAGGACATGGAGTTCCATGGCCTGCGACACCTCCGCAGGTATTCGAGTCAGTCTGTTGTCCCGGACGCAGAACACGGTGAGGTTGCAGCATCCGCCAATCTATAGTGGAAGAGGAAAAAAAATCATCTGTTCTTTTCTCCATTTTTGAGGAGGGGTGGGGTAGGATATTTTACCAACAGCATGAAAAAGATGCATAAAATATACCATATGATTTTAAATTTCACTGGTGAGCATGTATGGTTACTGTCAGTTATACAAAATGTTAAACATGTTCTAAGTTGAGTAAAGAAAATACTTAATACAGTTCTAACTCTCATTCGGAAAACTATCACTTTTCATTGCTGATACCTAATGCACTTCACTGGTTAAGTGTTAACTAAACCACACACATCCAGGATGTATTAATTAGCCATAAGGGAATTAAACAATTCTACTTCAAAATACTAGGCCAGAGGTAATGCTGACACCAATACACACAGCTCAAGGCCTGCCCTATAACTCCTGTGGTTTCAATATTCCAGGGTTAAGAAAGGAAGGGAGGGACCTGATAGATTATACATGCATTGTCACTACATATATTTTGATAGCTTTTGGTCACTCATAAATTAATTTGGCAAAATCACTTTCCCTTGAGGAATGTAAAACCAGTGACATCTCAGTGAGAAGTGACATTGGTAAACGAGCAATTTGTCTCAGCCACAGTTTGCTGTCAACAACTTCATTACACCAAGAGCTGCATCCACATTCAAGTCTATTCCAAGGTGGCTGAACTTCCTATGTGTGGTCTTTAAGACACACTAATTCAAGACTTTCCTGGACAAATGGGCCATGGAAGAGCTGAACCAAAGGGATCTCAGACACAACCTTCTCCAGACTCCATAAAGCACTGCATTCTTCTGGCCTTTGCCATCCTGAGTAGAGAAAGCTCCTGAAGGGACCCATTGATGTCCCTCGGACACATGGGAAAGTAGTCCCCCAGGGCCTCTCACCAGAGGGAGAGTCTGGCCTCCTCAAGGCTGTCTGAATAGATCCCCTGCCCTGTTTTACTTTGGTGTGTACTTAATACATGTATATAACACCCTAAAAGAGCGCAGTACATCTTTACAAAATTGCTACATAGTTAACTTCACGCATTTTCCTTTTATTTCTTCTTCTAAGAGTATCAGGGTTTCCAATTACTATATTTAACTGCAGAGTTCAACCATAACAGATGTAAACATAGTAACATTATAAAACACACAGCTCTGTCTCTTGTCACACAGCCCCAATGCACAGGGGCTGTCCCTTTCAGGTCTCAGAATTCAAGTTTCCCATCCCAGTAAAACTAGTTTATTCCCTCTATTTTTACATCATTACTTCCTATAGAAACACCTTTCTTCTTTCTGTTTTTAAAAATCTTACCAGTCATCCAAACTGACTGGCTGTCCCTCAGCCCTTCCATAGTTTTCCCAGAACCTCTGGTCATTATGATAAACTGCCATCTACATTGCTTTCATAATTATGGACTAACACTCTAACGGGACAAAATGTCTCTTGGGAATCCTCACGGGCACTTGCCGAGATTGCCGCTTTGTACACATGTACACACAGTTAGAGCACTGGATAAGAGCACCACCTCTCTCATCTCGCATCTACCCTCCATCCATCGTCTATGCACCACCAAAGAGCTCAAGTATGTTCCCCTGGACATCTTGAGAACTACCTGACTGCATGTCCCAATACCCTTTACATGAAAATCAGTGAAGGACTGACGTGAGCTCACTATCATGGTCCCCGAATCATTTGTGTGTATTCTGATCACTCTTTTGGTTTCATGGGCAGAATTTGAAGGTTCCCTGGCGGTCATCAGGATCAAATGTCTATTATCACTTAGAAATTCTGGGAAGCAGAGTCACTGTTTAAATACCCTATTACCAGTTATGTAGGAAGCTGGTATTTTAAACCTCCCTTAAACCACTAATAACACCTTCCAAGAATACAAGGGTTTGGATTTGGAGTCTCTAAAAACTACAGAATGTAGCAGGAAACCCAAGTTTAGCTCTTTTGTGTCTATGTTAATTCAGAATGATCCTATATTTAACTGCCATTGAGTTAGCCTAGGAAGGGCCTAGAGATCACCATGGAAACCTTTAAAGCAGCGGTTCTCCACCTCATTACTACTGCGACCCTTTACTACAGTTCCTCATGTTGTAGTGCCCCCCACGACCATAAAATTATTTTCCTTGCTACTTCAAAACTGTAATGTTGCCACTGTTATGGATCATAATGTAAATATCTGTGTTTTTTGATCATCTTAGGCAACCCCTGTGAAAGGGTCATTTGACAACCCCATGGGGTCATGGCCCATGGGTTGAGAACCACTGCTCTAAAGGGGAATTCTTTTTTTTTTTTTAAGATTTATTTATTTATTTATTTATTTATTTATTTATTTATTTATTTATTTATTTATTTTGGTTTTTCGAGACAGGGTTTCTCTGTGTAGCTTTGCGCCTTTTCCTGGAACTCACTTGGTAGCCCAGGCTGGCCTCGAACTCACTGAGATCCGCCTGGCTCTGCCTCCCGAGTGCTGGGATTAAAGGCGTTCGCCACCACCACCCGGCTTATTTATTTTTTTATGTATACAGTGTTCTGTCTGCATGTATGCCTGCAGGTCAGAAGAGGGCGCCAGATCTCATTACAGATGGTTGTGAGCCACCACGTGGTTGCCGGGAATTGAACTCAGGACCTCTGGAAGAGCAGCCTCTGAGCCATCTCTCCAGGCCCCCTAAAGGGGAATTCTTATGGAGCAACCTGGAGACCATAATCAGACTGACGATTCAGAGAAGCAGCCTAGGTCAGGCACCCATGCTGCTTGCAAACGGCTGTCTGCGTGTAAGGGGCTGCTATCTCTTGGTACGGTTCTTTCGATATTGGTAGCGTAAACAGAAACCACATCGCACAGGCAAAAAGGAAAACTTACAAGAAAACAAAATCTGGCTCGAAATACAAAAATAGTGAACAAAAATAATATACATGATTTTAGAACCCTTTCCAGAGCCTGTGCTATATTTTATAAATGTTTCCCCACTTTAGCCGGGTGGTGATGGTGCACGCTTTTAATCCCAGCACTCAGGAGGCAGAGCCAGGCGGATCTCTGCGAGTTCGAGGCCAGCCTGGGCTGCAGAGTGAGTTCCAGGAAAGGCTCCAAAGCTACACAGAGAAACCCTGTCTCAAAAAAAAAAAGAAAAAAAAAAAAAGTTCCCCACTTCACAAACATTTTTAAAATTACGTGGTTTGGAGATTCCACAAATTATTGGACCACACATACAACATGACACTACATGATCTTCAGCATACATATCATCAAGAATGTATTCTACTGCCATTATATTTCTCAAGGATTTTACTGGCCACAAAATCCTTCCCCCTCCAGATTTATAAGAGATTATTTCACAAACATCCATGGTTGATGGTGCCCGTTAGTTCCCAGCACCTCTTTGCCTCTCTCTGCACTGGTCTAATCATCTGGTAGACGGTGATACTGACTTGTCTACACCTCACAAACGTACTGTAAAAATCAGACAAGAACTTGACACAGGGAAATGCTCCATGACAGCCACCTCTGTATACACTCAGGACAGTTTCTGGTCCACACGAGCCGCTTCAGGTCTTGGGATGGCACCTGGGGCATGTTTGATGGTCCTGTCTAAAATCTGAGAAACAAGTCTTGTGTGTATCTTAATATGAATGGACTATTTCCCTAGAATAAATTTCTAGAAATGGAAGAGCAAAAGGTATGTTTGTAAGTCTTTAATAATATCAATCGTCTCTCCCATGACAGCCCCAGCAATTTATACTTACACAATCATATGTACTTTCCCTGCAATATCTGTCAGCATTTGGCATTTCACTTACAATTCTGATATATTAAAATGCCTTCACACTTCTGTGAAAACAGATGAGACGAATTTCCCCCATACTCTCCCTTTCTGGGTATCACTTGTTTTTGGTTTTGCTTACTTTTCCGTGATAGACACATCTTTTGCTCAGTGACATGAAGGACTTTCTGATAACAGTTAAGATTTCTTCATTTGAGATTAAATGTCTTCCTACCCATAAATTGTTTTTGATCCTCTTTCAGACAAGGAATCTTCCAGGTAGACAAAACCATCACAATCACCAACTGTGTGTGCACCTGCCTGCATGTGAGTCTTAGTGTGCATTTGAAGGTTGGGTTGGCAATCTTATCTTTTCTCAAGTCCCATTCTCCCATTTTATAGACAGAGGTTTCTCGCTTGCCTGGAACTCCCTCATTAGGCTAAGCTAGCAGGCTAGGAAGCCCCAGGGACCCCTATTTATGCAGTGCTGGGGTTACGTGCTCCACTTTTCTTAACGAGGGTCTCCGGGGACTGAACTCAGGCCTCATGCCTGTGTGGCAGGCATTTTCTGACTGAGTCATGTCTTGAACCCCGTTAACCATTTCTTTTATGATTTATTTCCTGTTTCAAATTTAGGAATGCATTCTCAGTCTTCAGATCTCATGGTCGATTGCATTTTATTCTAATATGTATAGGTTTTATACTATATTTATTATCACTAATTTTAAAATGCAAGGGCAACTTAGACCCAAACAAATTTAAAGTATAAGGCAAAAAGTTGTCTGTGAAATAAATACTCTAACATCAGAATATTTACAGGGAATTAATATTTACACACTGCCTTAATAAATATATGTATATGAGTGGCCTACAAACTCTACCGTAGCCCATTTGACCAAACAGGTGTGACATAGTTGGGGTACCTTTCTCAGTTTGATCCAATACAGACAAAAATAACAAGCAAAAAATCCCCTCTGTAGTCTAAACTTGGCCATATGCTCAATTTCTTTTAGCCAGAAGGTGTTCCAAGGTAGCATTTGGCTGGGGAATCCTGAAGGCACTACCCTCATTCATCAGACCCACAATCACACGCTGGCTCCCTGCCCACCTACAAATCACACTCCTGCATTTTCATCCCCTTAACGCTTCCCCTTTCCCAGAAGAAAATAAACTTAAGCAACGGAGTGAGAAACAAAACACACGAGTGCGTGGCTGGGAGCTCAGAAGCATGCCATGTGTTGCAAATGAGCCAGGGTGAGCCTTTCCGCCACAAGCTGGAATCATGCTGACAGAGCACAATGTTGTGAAGGCAGGTGGGGTGGCAAAAGATGCCTTTCAGAATTTCTGAGTAACTTAGAATCTAAGTCACAGAAAAGCATTCTTTTGTGAAATAATAATCTGAAAAAAATGTGAGGAACACATAACGACACAAGAGTCCAGGCCATGCAGTTATTACATTTATTCAGAGAGAAAACGCCCATGGTTTACAAGGATGAACACACAGCAGTCAGACAGTCTGAATCTTCATGCACTTAGGAAGCAAGACGGGAGCTGGAGACGTAACTGCAGTCAGAACGATACTTACAAGGTGACAAGTTTACCTGACTTTTCTAAAACTCCAAGCAGCTAACAAGTAAGAAAACAAGAGACATTCATTCATTTCCAAATGTTTACTACAGAGGACACCACGAAACACAAACAGGATCCTTTACTGGGACCCAACAGTACAAACATCTTCCCCTCAGTCATTTGGGAAACTAGACGGGAATACATGCGGTTGGGAGTACGGAACTGGGCTGTAAGACTGACGCTATCAAATACCATCAAATAAGATGATGAGAGACGATATGGGGAAAACTACGGACACAGCAAACCAACAGCAATTATACAACTATGGGTTTGGGACACAAAAATTGACTCGTTTTTTGTCTTAGCGTAGATATGCCATGTATGCAACTTAATTGATCAAGGAAAAAAGGTAATACGTTTTCCAAAGGGAAGACTCCACGAAATCAGGCATGGAGGCAGAGCTGGTGCTCACACACATAGACAATCACAGGGCAGACTATACTAACTGTACACACCGGTGACTTGACATGTGGCTGGGACACACTCTGTGTTTGGTTGGTCAGCCCCGCTGAGACAAACAGTCAAGATGATTTCTGCTGGGTACCAAAATGTGATCCATGGCAGAGCCAGAGACATACACTCAGTGACTTCCTTATCCTGGGATCTGGGTGTGTGTGTTTAAGGCGCAAGATAGTCTAGAAAGATCTCACTCCTAAAAATTGAAATGTTTCTGCTTTATCTAGAGGCTGAAGAAAAAAGTATCTGTTTTATTCACTTATAAAACTCTACATGCCAGGAAATCAATCACAATTTCCAAGGAAATAGATAAAATGTAATAGCACAAATGCTTTAAAGCTAAAAATACTTTTGCAGTGGACGTAAGCAGAGATGTCACTCTCCAATCGGAAACACTGCTGAAGACTCATTTTTTTTTAACCAGACAACTCATTGCTAAAATGACAGTAGCAGTTTCATAATAATACATTTATAAGATTCTCCCCTAAAATGTCTCCCTGGAAAAAAGAATTCATGAGCCACCCAGATACAATGGGAGAATGTTGTTATTAAACTTTAAAGTGCTCTCCTTAGCATTTGCCTCAAAAATACCCCTAAGCTGTACTGATGTTCTAGAATGCCCAGACTAAAGGTCACTTGACCTTTCTTTACTGAATCAAGGTTTTGTACAATCTCCAGGACACGCAGATGAAAGGGCCATGCTGAATCTGAATCTCTTGTGTTGCCCTGTCTTTACAGTCCCGTCACAGTGACTGGGAGCATCATCTTTGGGGCTAAAGCCGACTGTCCTCAATTTTTGTATCTGTGAACTGAGGAAAAGCATCACGACTTCCAAAGCCTGAGTGAGCGGAGCTGCACAGAAGCACACACCGTGCGGGGCATTAAGGAAGAGAGAGAGAGCTCCTTGTGCTGCTTCTGCATCCGATCCATTCCCCACCCGCAAGGGGAAACACTAGTGCTCACACTATCAGCTGTGTTTTGGTTGACTGCTTACAGTTTAGCGGCAAAATGTTTTGATTAGCAGCATCTTAGTTGTGTCCCAATGTGACTGCAGTGTAGATTTGAGTCCTTCTGTCGATGACGGTCTTACTTAGATGTGACAGCTCACGTTAAGGGTATGTCTGATTAGCAATATGTCGAGTTTTCAGTCTGTACCCTCTTGCTTCCACTCAGGGGGGTTACCTAACTTACCCAGAAGAGACTGGGCACTGGGAGCAGAGACCCAAGCTGAGAAAGGGAAAGGGGAAGCCCACACGACCATGTCAAGTGGCCCTAGGGAAAGAAAAGAGGCGGCCCTGAAGTCTGGCGGGTTAGACGCCAACTTTGAAACTATTCCGAGACAGATGGTAAAAAGGTCAGAGCAGAGAAATATAAACAAAACTAAGTTGGCCAACGATCATGTGGAGGAAAGAAGCTTTTTCTATGAGGACCCAGCAAACAGGAAGTCTCACCAACAGCTATTCGATAAAGGGAAAAGAAAGGGCCAGAAACTCAGCTTTTGGCCATGTGACGAACACTAAAAACAACAGCGAAGAGGCAAGCTCAGGCTTATTCTTTCCAGTACAGCTCTCCCAGTTCTCAGCACGCAGTAAACCTTTCAAAAAGGACACTAGACACCTCCGTGCTCCATTCATTGTGGGCTCTCTCTTCAGCCAGCATGTCCACCCCCTCTGATGGACGTTAGGAGCCTCGGAAGAACCCAGTGACTCTGCACAAGAGGAAGTGATAGTCTCTTTTCACTAGCAGGGGAAGATGGTGGGAGAGGAGGAAGAGAAGGGGGTAGTGGTGGAGAAGGCCGCTTCCTGCTGGCCTTCCTCCGAAGCTGTGCCTTTAGAAAGAATTAACGTGGCCTGACCTACATCTCTGCCAAGAACCAGGGCTGCATGATGGTCCACTTTTATAGGCACAATAATGGTTTGTGGTTAAATGCAATAGTTAAACCCCACATCACCCACGTTCTCTGGCAAGCTCCCAAATCACCCACTTCTGTCAACAGTCCTTCTCTCTGGATCAAAACACCACTCTCTTCCCTCGACTTAAAATCCCATCAATGTATGTCTCTCAACTCTCTCTAATGCAAATGACACGTATTCTTGGATGCAGTCCTCCAGCAGATTCATACTCACACTCTCTAAATGCACCACATGTTTTTTAAACACGGAAAAAAAAAAAAAAAAAAAAAACCACTCATGGACACTTTTGATCCCTTACGTATCACCATTATCACCATATTATTTCTTTAGGGGCACGTACCTCTTTTGGTAAAGACACCAGTTTATTTCTGTCTGCATTCAAGTTGTTCAACTTCTTAAGTTTTCCAATGCTCTTAGGTAAAGTCTGTTAAAGTAATACGTTTGTTATTAGCTTATCACATTTTTTTTTTGACACAGTTCAACAGAAAAAGCAATTATTTACAAGGACTTTACGAGTATCAACAAAAGAAAATACTTCTTCCTGAATATGAGATGTCTGTAATGGTCACTTAGGGAAATGTAATTAAGTATTCTAAATTTCTGTTGATATGACAGTATGTTTGAAATAAATTAAATCAAAGGTGGAGACAGGGGAATGTACTGTTCTTCCACTCAACAAAGTGTGCATTTACACCCTCAAGGTTTCTACGTGCCCTTCCAGCATACCAGACCACCACAGGTGGATGGTGGCTTTGACACGTGGAAGCTAGAATGTTGTAAGGGTGCTGGGGGGCCAGGGGCACAGAAAGACCTGGGTGGGTGCCGAGAAGGGTAAGCGGGCCTGGCGTGCTCAGCAGAGCCCTACAGAAGCAGGCGGGCTCCCAGGGGCTCTGGAACATCACAGCAGAATCTGAGGGCGACTATAGTTGTAACTGTTGTGGTTTCTATCTGTAAGCCTAAGGCCGCCGCTAAGACAGGAAGATCTGGGAACTTCAGCCACGCCTGCCAGAGGATGGCTACCTAAGGAAGGACGCTGAGAGGAGCCACCACGGCTAAGTTTTCACTCTTCGTAGGCTCTGACTCATTTAGGCTCTAAATGACACCACTTCACTTAACACCACATGAGAAAGGGGAAGCAAGAGGAAAGACAAGAAGGGAACAAGAAAGACAGAGAAAAGAGAGCAAAGTACTTGCCTCTTAAAAGGGCACGTGCAGGACAATTATAGTAGAGGAAAAGGAGATGAGCGGGGCCTGACAGATGAAGCAAAGGGAGATGGGAAGGGGACAGACAGCAGACACTGGCTGCCACCCTGCAGACCCACCCTCAGGAGATGGTGCATGCAGTCTTTGGCCCCGTTAGGGAGAGGAAGCTTGGTCAAACTGTGAGTCTGGGCAGCTGCCCTCAGTCCTGGTTTTTAGGGTAGAGACGGCAGCGGTCAAAGTTTTTCAACACCATTCTCCAGCTCAGAACACAGAGCAGTCTAAGCATCCATCCCCCAGGGCTTTCTCATTTCTTCTGGGTGCACTAACATAGCCCCCGGACACATCCAGCTTACAGGCAGGCTTCACCAGGGATCTCTGTGAGGTGTGAGTTCAGTGCCCACGCTCTGAGGATGGAGCCCACACCCACTTGGCTTATGCATTGGTCTTCAGGCCACACCTCACTGTGGCAGGTGCAAAGAACTGAACTCATCCCAGCCACACAAGGCACTCACCAGGAGACAGTTTTCTGTAAGAACTAATTCCGTGAGATTTTCACAATCCCCAACTGCTTCAGGCAACTGTGTGAGTCTGTTCTGATCCAGCTTCAAGATTGACAGTTTCTTTAGTTTTCCTACAAAAGTGTCATTTAAACTCATTAGTCGTGATTCTTTGCCTAACTGCCACTTGTTTCTTTTTCTATCTGTTGCTCTTTTTTGTTTTAAATAATTACTTATTTTTTCTTCAACCAGCTTTTCAAACTGAAACTGTAACACTCTCATTTAGATCACCCAGGGTTGAGTGTTAAGAGTAATTTGTTCGGCACATCAGAAAGTCGGTAATTAGAAACAAATCGTTTGAAAGGCCTAACTAAAAAAAGCCAGAAAATTCCATGAAGGACCAACAGTTAGCTACTGATGCATCTGTAAGAGCAGGAGCTGTTCTGTGGATGGACGAGAGTGGTGTCTGAGGAATGAGTGAAGGGCCACCTCCAAGTCCCCAAACAAACCAACCAAGGGTGCAGGCACTCTTCATTATCTACTGAGATCCTGGCACGGACACCTTCCCCAGTAAAGGAGAGGATCACCTCTACACAAAGAGAGACATGAAGCTGGGGAAGGAGAGGTGAAGGGAGAACTCTCTGGCCTTGGGCAGAGCCATGGGGCAAGGAAGGGCGGGCCACTCCTTAGCTCACTGTGGAGCAGAATCAATAACGAACTAAGTCCCTGGTGGATCCCCACAGGCCCCTGCTATCAGGAGGTATGCGGGCGCTATCCACAGGGCACAGTGCAGCTTGAAGCAGCTCCTGAACCCTCTTCCCAGCTGGGAGTTTGATAGCTCGAATAGTTAAGTGACCGGGCACTTGTGTCTTCACGAAGAAGCGCAAGGTAATTTGTAGCCATTACCTTTGCTTTTCAAAGCTCTTCGAAGGAAACTCTCCTTTTGCCCCTCTGAACCTCAAGATCCACTGAGCCTACAGCAGAGGGCCTTGCTATGGACAGTCCTTCAACGCCCACAGCAGGTCAGCTCCCATCTGCTGACTCCTCCTATTCCGAGCATCAAAACATCCAGTTTCTACAGCACCTGATGCCCCAGATGGTTCTAAATAAACCTTTCTAGAAAGTCAGACGAATCCTCATCTGCTTTTCAACTGGTGCTGACCATTATCCGTTGTCATTTTCATCCTGAGCGAATAGCAGAAAGGAAGAGGTCCTTGGCCACACTCTTCTCCATAATCTTAGGACAATCTGTGGTTACGCACAGTTCCTGACAGGCGCTGGGCAGCACTACTATGATGGGGCCATCAATCCCTGAGATTACACTCTCTCTCTGTCTCTCTGTGTGTGCATGTTTTAATTATCAGCACATATCTAAAAATTAACATTTTAAACAGTTGTGCAAAACAAACAAAACCACTGGTCTGGTTCTGTTTTCAAAATTTCTAGGTTATAAGGCTTTTTACCCGAGAAATTCAAACAAATGAACTACCAAAAAAAGCACATTAACAGATATGTCTCTTTCTTACAGGATTAGAAATGCATACGAGGAAAACATTATGAAAATCTCTACTTAAAGAAAAACAAGTTTGGGCCCTTGAATAATAAGACAAGAAAGACAGTATGATAAGGAACGTTTTTCACAGCTTAAGTAACAACACTTGTTCCATCACATTCTGGACTAATTTCTCACACTGGTCTAAGTTCCTTTAAAGAAAGGAAATGGAGTGGGTGCCGTGTGGTGGTGCACGCCTGTAATCCCAGCACTTAGGAAGAAAAGGCAGGCAGAGCTCTGTAAGTTTAAAGCCAGCCTGCTCTACACAGCAAGTCCCAGGACAGCCAGGGCTACATAGCGAGCGAGACTCTGTCTGGGAGGGGAGGGGAGGGGAGGGGGAGGAAGGGGAGGGG